CCACCCCATTCATGCTAATAAGAATCTCAACCAAATTACACAACAACCTAACCAATTAATAACAGAGTATATAAAACCACACACAACGTTTAACCCTACAAAACCCAGTAACACTACAGTGACCATTTCCCACACATCTGTTCATCACATAACACACTATTCTGTTACGCCTGAACACACACTCAACCATTTCCTACTCCCCACAATCCCCACTTTCTTGATTATTTCCTAGACTTATTCCACCAAACCAATCTACCCAATGTACATATATCCCATCACCACCCCAACACACACCTCTGCTACCCCACACCTGAATACCAATAATGTAGCAACACTACAATCGCTTACCCCACACCACTACCCAATACTATCACAATGTAAGTACTCTTTCAGAAAACAACACGTGACATACAAAAAATGCTCAAATGACTGCACCACCTTTCTTAATATGTCCTATCTTCCTCTACCCACTCACACACCATCTGGTGTGTCCACTTTACTACACCAGAATGACATCCACTGAACAAAAGAAGTTAAACACACACCATCCCCCTATCATCTCTCTTACCTTCCAGAGTCTACACGCAACAATACATACCCGTGTTTACTTCACCAATAGTACCACGTCACAATCTGTCCGCTGAATGTCCACTGACACATCGTTAAGAGTCACCACGCCTCCCAAGACCATCCAAACTATATCTAAGCAGCTATAACCCGTATACTAACTAATTCTTACCTGTGTGATATAGTGCACTGATCTAAATATACACTGCTCCACAACTCCTAACTTACTACATGCTGTCAGTGCCATGTGATCTTATTTGTAGAAACAAGAGTGTGTATCCTACTATACACCACCACCGTCCAAAATTCCGTAAGAAGACTATGTAACAACATTGTCAAGTTATCCGAAAGATCATTACGCGCACTCAGAACATCAACATCTCTACACCTATGAACTCATCTCCCAATCAATGTCAACGCTCATAGACCCACCTTGTATCACAATGTGTGCAATAGCTCAACGTCCTACTGTGTGCCTCATTCCCTAGTCACCTCATTAGACACTGCCTTGTGCTCCTAAGATCTCACACTTCGAAAAACCAACTCAAACAGAATACACAAGTATGTACCCCTTCGACATGCAACGACATCGATATATGCCATATCCACATTAGACATTATCCACACACCACTTAAAATCCAATACATAACCCATTTATATGCCCACTACAACCATATCATATGCTTGTCAATACCTCACCCAGAGACATCGTTCCTCACCACTAGACCCATGCACCCAGATGATACTTGCACCTCCAGTATCAATCCCCGTCCATCTGATCTCGCCTCGAGGTGACCACTGTTCAGACTGAACATATCTATAAGTTCTACCGACCGACTGCTGAGCAACTCCCTGTCAAAGTCCCTGTGTCCACTACACATAACCCTAGTCTCATGTCATTTTGTCCCACTCTGTCATCAAGACATGCTATCACTCCTAAGTCCCCCTCGCTGACCTCCCAGAGTACACTTTTCCTCTCTCCGCATGTGTTCTCCAAACTAGTCAGTACCATCTGACACTCGCCTAACCTGCTACCCTAGTGTCTCCTTATCTACGTCCTGTGACCAAAATTGCACCACGCCGCTGATACACTCTTGCCACAGTCTCAACACTATGTCATCACTGCACACACTGATGTCCTCGCACTGTTAGTCGTGTGAAATCTACTCCACCATCCCAGTCCCGAAACATCTCGCATCTCTTCTCACCCGTCCTGCCACTTCGTTCACTTCGCCAGTCTAATAGAACCCTGTAGTCCGCCTGACGTTCTACTGTGTGATACACACTGTATCACACGTTCCAAACAAGATAATGTCGCTCCATGTGATGCTCTATCAACATCACTCTACATATCATCCATAGAACACATTATATACATCATCTAATATCTACACATAAAAACAAATCTTACCTCCCACAACTGTGCAATAATAACATATAACAAGTCGTAATTTGCGTATCCTAATCTTTAGCTACGACATGTCTAACTATCCATATATTCACTCCTCCGATGTACTGCCCCCGTCTACATCCACCCACACCTCTCTCCACCACAACTACGAGCAATATCTCGCGTACATACCACAACCTGTACCATACTACATTACATCCCACCCACATTCACCACCTTACATCCAAACACCGTCATGTTAACAAAACTGAAATCACAGTTTACATCCAAAACATCCACGCATTACCGCAATAGTACAAAGTCCCTGTGAACAATACATCAACATGCGTGACTTACAACCTTACATACTAACCATACATCATATACCTTTACCTCCCACATTACATACCCCCCTACCTTCACTCCCAGACCACTGTGTTAGTACAAGACCGTGCATCTACTCAGTATGAACATGTAATCCTGTGATCACTCGTAAGATAATCAGCTGTCTTCTGTATCCATAGAGACAGACACTCTAGAACCTCAGTGACTTACCTTTTCTCTCTGACTCCATCACACCTAGTCAGTTCTCAGCCACATCTGTTAGTGCTCGGTGCTGAATCCCTATCTGTGTACCGCATTATGTCACCACCTTAAGTTCTTGCGTTGTACCCTTTACCTACACATTTCAACCTCATATGAACACACCCCCCGAGTGTCCATACATACCAATTAATATTCCATATAACTACAATGTGATGTAGGTGATAACCCTCACTCGCTATGCCTAACAATTACTCACAATATAGTGTGTGTGTACACTCGACAACACCATATACATTTGTCACCATCAATTATTTATATATCACATAATACCTGAGTTATGCATACACCTAATAGATTATAAAATACCGTTAAACATCATCCACAATCAATTATGACAATTTGATTTTATGTAAATGTCGTAATGTGCTTCAAACACACAATCTCTCAGAATGAAGTAGAATGCACAAAGCTTTCATAGTTGTCTTACCGTCAGTTATTAATAGATCATACACCGTTTAGGAACAATTCCTCTATAAAGTCTGTCTTTAAGTGTCTCTCGTAGAGTGAAGTGCTCTCTTCCACTGGCGCCTTAGAAGTTTGGAGTTATGACTCTCGACGTCACCACTGAGGCGCAATTGCAGTAGATACTGAGATCTACTGTCACTGGCTTGGTGAGGCTGTTAACTCACGAGAGGTATGAATTATAAGAGAGATTAATATTTGTTTTGTAGAACTGATACTCGAGCAAGAGGAAGGAGGATGATGAATGGGATTTGCAAGAGGCACCAGACACTGGCGAGTGAGGCTGTGTAGGAGAGGCACTGGCCATCGGCGAGGAGCCCAAGGGAAGCTGCGGGGAGGAGCGAGAGGGTGATCGCCTGCATGGGTGGACTGCGTGACATGAGGATGAACGCATCACCTTGGAGGACAGCGCGTGCATTGCCACGCAGCTCATCGCGTCTGATAGAAGTCGCGGCGTATGTGTGTCTGTCAATGAATAGTGGTCTGTGGGTTGTTGAGCCGGGACGATTCCTCTTTTGGCGCAATAGTATGGGGACACCCGAACACGTGTTGGGCGCTCTGGGATACTGCAAGCTCGCTCAGGTCGTTGGGTTGATAATTTAGAAGTGTCGCATGTGTGCGAGCGTGAGAAGTGAATGGAGAAAGAGAGCTGTGTAAACAACAAGAGGGAGTGACAGGGGTGGTGTGAGGAGTTAGTATGATTGACATTAGAGAAACCGTCTGGAGGGAAAACATCATTTAAGGTTAAAAAGCTTTGCAAAAGTTTTCACACCCTTTTAGTCTCTTTTCAGATGATCTGAGTTTATGTATAGATGATGTTTGTGATTAGTTATTGATTCACTGATCCTATTCAGGTGCAGCTGTTCACACCAGTCTTTAATGGGATTCAGGTGGTGTAGATGTTGGAGGTAGGCGCATTTTACCGATGGGCAGTTTCCTGGAGTGTTGCGCGCGCTTTCGTTCGTTGGATTCCAGAGCCTGTGGAGTCTGTCTAGCGGTTCGCGAAATAAAGAGGCAGGGTGTCGGGGAGATCGTATTCTCTGGTATATAAACATAGAGTTCGATTAGAGTCTCTACTAGAGAGAACTCGTATCGGACTGTGTTTGTCAGTACACGCCAGATAGATTGAGAGGCGCGTTGTGTGATGGCGGGCGTAATCCTGCATGAGTCCTATCGGGTAGATGTACCTCGACACTGAGATAGATGTGTCGTTTTCTGCGCCGTTATATCACGTGTGCAGATATCGTGATGTACGCGCGAGCTATGCGCTTGCATTCTGTGCATGCTACACCCTCTGCGTGCTTGCACTCGAAGTGAGAGCTGACTTAGGTCACAAGTGCCGCTGTTTGCGTGTACGCACAGCTGCACCACATGGAGAGAGTAGTGACTCACGCTAGGCTAGATCGAGAGGAAGGTTGTTGGTCAAGCAGCTCAACTTTCCGCATGTAGCAAGTAACGGGACAGTTGGCAGCCAATCAGGGACTGAATGGAGGGGAAGCTTTTTCACTTCAAATGGAATTAAAATTAAAAATAATTCCATGTTAAAAACAAAATCAGCACAAATTACATTTTTACCTGCAGAATGGAAACAGAACTGAAAGAGTAGGCTGGATAATTTAGATTGAATTTGGAGCTTAATGGGGGATAGTTGACCTCTGGGTGACCTAAAAAAGAACCTTTAGTTTCTCTGAAAGAACAGCAGCAGATTGGATCTTTATTTTTGCTAATGACCATTTAAAATGCTTGTTCCTGCTCTAATGAAGCTATAACCATTCAGTCTCACATAGCTGAAGCTCCTCCTACTGGATGATGTAACCGGCGGTGAGCTACCTGCTGGAGGAAATCACCGCTTTCATCTGGTCTGAACGCAGCTTTAAACACTGATGAGTTTAGAAACACTAAAAGTTTGTTGCTGCAAATGGAAACAAAAGTTGAAATGTTTAGCAAAGCCCAGTTTCCCAGCTGGTAGCTTACCAGTCCATTAATGGGGACATCGTCATAGTGCAGCGCCGTGCTAGAGGGGCAGGCGTAGCCGTTGAGTTGGCCGTCCCGGTATGGGCTGGGAGACACGGCGCGCTTACTGGTGAAACTGGAGGGACAGAAGCATTAGCTGGTTTGGCTGCTGAAGGCGAACCTGAAGAATGGATCTCAGTGGCCGTCCTTACCAGAAGGACTGCTTTGCTAACTGGATGACGTTGGCGGTGGTTTCCACATCGATGTAGTCGTAATGCAGGGTGGCCGGGTCGGTGTTGGAGCCCGTCTCAGCCAGTAACACTCCCAACCAGCGGCCCATTTCCTCAGAGGAGGAGGCCTAGAGAGACACAGAGGTTCATGGTGAAGCAGCAGCACAGTGCTCCTCTCTCTCCTTTAGGTTCCCGCCACCAGCTCACCTCCAGCACCGCTACTTCCTGGCCGTTACGGAGCAGACGGAAGGCAAAGGGGTGTTTGTGATCGAGGCCAGGGTTGACCTCGCAGCCTCGGAGCGGCAGAGAGGCGACGTGGCTCTTCAGGTCGTCACAGTCCTTGTGGAGCAGCAGCTGGTTGTCTTTCAGGCGGCACCAGCGCTCCCGCCAGCGGTTATTGGAGAGCACGTTCAGGTAGCCTGTGGGTCAGAACGCGCTCTGATGTCAGACCAATGCTGGACCAAGACATCGGACTGCAATAAGGGACTAATGGAAGAGGAACCGAAGGTGAAAACATTCGTCTGATTAAGATCTCTTCACCTACTTCCTGCAGTCAAATGGGTTTTGGTTCAAAGATGTTTCTGGTTGTGAAGAACATGAGTGACCAAAGGACCTGTTAATCACAGGTGGGGCCTGTTGCTTTTTGATTGTTTGGGTCGGATGATGAACAGATAACCAAAGAAATCCAATTCTGTCTCATTCTGTTTTCTTATTGTTGAGCAAAACCCAAAAGTTTCAGTGGAGCTAATTTAGAGCAGAACAGCAGCAGGAAGTTTTCCTGCTAAATTCCTCAAGTTTACCGCAGGTAGGAAAATCTTCCTCTGCAGAGGACGTCTGTTCATCCGTGGACAGCTTCTTCTTCCCGAGGCCGATGATCTTGGTGATCTTCTTTCCAGCTCCTTTTCCAACGGTCCCAATTTTCTGCTCGGATTTGGAGCTTTTCTTTGTTTTTCCTGAATGGAAACAGTGAAAACAGAATTAGTGGAGCGTCACGCCGTCCTTGCTGAGGGACTTTCAGTAGAATCAGTCCAACATTGAGGAGCCTCCTTAACCTTTGACCTCACCTTGGTCTTTGCCGTCGCTGAGCCCATTTTCATGACCTGCTTCGCCATCTGAGCTTGGACGGTCACATGACGCTTTCTGGCGACAGGTAATGCAGGAAATTAGAGCATAAATAATGTTATATTCCTGAAGATTAAGGGACTCTCTGGAACTGGTTAGAACAGGCTAATTAGCCTTTAGCTCGGCTAGCTAGTCATCTGCAGGATGTCTGCAGAGATGGATGAGAAACTGAGTACTGGGAGCTGATGATCACCTGATCCTTTACCGGACCGGATTTTTACCTCCTTGGATTTACATGAGCATAAAAACTGCAATAAATAGAAAATCTTCCAATCATTCCTCAAAGCTCCCCTGGTGGGATGTACCGAGGAACAACTACTGGAACCATCATGCAGAACTGCTATTTTTACCTTGTCTGGTTCTGCTCTGAGGACGGCTAATCCCGCTGCAGCGCCGTCCGGATCAGCGCCTCCATTAACACACACCTCCCTCATCACCTTCGAAAGTGGAGAAATGATGGTCACACACTGATCATTAAACCCACAGATCGTAACTATCGTCAACCAGTGATGTTTGGAACTTAGCTGTGGGTCAGAGGAAGTGTGTGTGTGGACGGGTTCTGGTTCTGTTCACATTGTTTTTGGATTCAAACCAAACTAAAGGCGCTGTCACACCATGACGATTTAGACCAGCGTCTGCCTGACGTACGAAAAATCTGGCAAAAACGCTGGCATCTGTTGGATGAGTTATAGGTATGTTTTGTTTAAGTTCTGAGCACTATGAAACACTCTGAAGCACGCTGAAGAATGCTGAAACACTTTGAAGCATGCTGAAACACTCTGAAGCACGCTGAAATAAGCTTCAACAGTCTCAAACATTCTGCAGCATGCTGAAACACTCTGAAGCACGCTGAAGCATGCTGAAACACTCTGAAGCACGATGAAACACTCTGAAAAACGCTGAAATAAGCTTCAACAGTCTGAAACATTCTGAAGCACGCTGAAGCATGCTGAAACACTGAAGCACGCTGAAACACTCTGAAGCACGCTGAAACACTCTGAAAAACGCTGAAATAAGCTTCAACAGTCTGAAACATTCTGAAGCACGCTGAAACACTCTGAAGCACGCTGAAGCATGCTGAAACACTCTGAAGCATGCTGAAACACTCTGAAAAATGCTGAAATAAGCTTCAACATTCTGAAACATTCTGAAGCACGCTGAAACACTCTGAAGCACGCTGAAGCATGCTGAAACACTCTAAAAAACGCTGAAATAAGCTTCAACATTCTGAAACATTCTGAAGCATGCTGAAACACTCTGAAGCATGCTGAAACACTCTGAAGCACGATGAAACACTCTGAAAAACGCTGAAATAAGCTTCAACATTCTGAAGCACGCTGAAACACTCTGAAGCACGCTGAAGCATGCTGAAACACTGAAGCACGCTGAAACACTCTGAAGCACGCTGAAACACTCTGAAAAACGCTGAAATAAGCTTCAACAGTCTTAAACATTCTGAAGCACGCTGAAACACTCTGAAGCACGCTGAAGCATGCTGAAACACTCTGAAGCACGCTGAAATACGCCTAAACACTCTGAAGCACGCTGAAGAATGCTGAAACACTCTGAAGCACGCTGAAACACTCTGAAGCATGCTGAAACACTTCGAAGCATGCTGAAAAACTCTGAAAACGCTGAAATAAGCTTCAAAAGTCTGAAGCACGCTGAAACACTCTGAAACACTTTGAAGCACGCTGAAACACTCTGAAGCACGCTGAAACACTCTGAAACACTTTGAAGCACGCTGAAACACTCTGAAGCACGCTGAAACACTCTGAAACACTTTGAAGCACGCTGAAGCATGCTGAAACACTCTGAAGCATGCTGAAACACTCTGAAGCACGCTGAAACACTCTGAAGCACGCTGAAGCATGCTGAAACACTCTGAAAAACGCTGAAATAAGCTTCAACAGTCTGAAACATTCTGAAGCACGCTGAAACACTTTGAAGCACACTGAAACACTCTGAAGCATGCTGAAACACTCTGAAAAACGCTGAAATAAGCTTCAACAGTCTGAAACATTCTGAAGCATGCTAAAACACTCTGAAGCATGCTGAAACACTCTGAAGCACGCTGAAACACTCTGAAGCACGCTGAAACACTCTGAAGCACGCTGAAGCATGCTGAAACACTCTGAAGCATGCTGAAACACTCTGAAGCACGCTGAAACACTCTGAAGCACGCTGAAGCATGCTGAAACACTCTGAAAAACGCTGAAATAAGCTTCAACAGTCTGAAACATTCTGAAGCACGCTGAAACACTTTGAAGCACGCTGAAACACTCTGAAGCACGCTGAAACACTCTGAAAAACGCTGAAATAAGCTTCAACAGTCTGAAACATTCTCAAGCATGCTAAAACACTCTGAAGCATGCTGAAACACTCTGAAACACTTTGAAGCACGCTGAAACACTCTGAAGCACGCTGAAGAATGCTGAAACACTCTGAAGCACGCTGAAACACTCTGAAACACTTTGAAGCACGCTGAAACACTCTGAAGCACGCTGAAACACTCTGAAACACTTTGAAGCACGCTGAAACACTCTGAAGCATGCTGAAACACTCTGAAAAACGCTGAAATAAGCTTCAACAGTCTGAAACATTCTGAAGCACGCTGAAACACTTTGAAGCACGCTGAAACACTCTGAAGCACGCTGAAACACTCTGAAAAACGCTGAAATAAGCTTCAACAGTCTGAAACATTCTGAAGCATGCTAAAACCCTCTGAAGCATGCTGAAACACTCTGAAGCATGCTGAAACACGCTGAAGCATGCTGAAACACTCTGAAGCACGCTGAAATACGCCTAAACACTCTGAAGCACGCTGAAGCATGCTGAAACACTCTGAAGCATGCTGAAACACGCTGAAGCATGCTGAAACACTCTGAAGCACGCTGAAATACGCCTAAACACTCTGAAGCACGCTGAAGAATGCTGAAACACTCTGAATAAACGTTTGAAAAACCTAAAGGGCATGCGAAACACTCTAAAAACATGCTGAAACCGCTAAAGCATCTAAAACCCCACCCCTGAACCCATGCGAAACACTCTGAACTTTCTGAAAAAACTCGAAGCATGCTAAACACGCTGAAGCATGTTTAAAAACACCTGAACACCTAAAAATTACGCCTAAACACTCTGAAGCACGCTGAAAAAAGCTGAAACACTCTGAAAGCACCTGAAACACTCTGAAGCATGCTAAAACACTTCGAACATCCCTGAAAAATTTCGGAAAACCGAAAAAAGGGCTTAAAAAAGTGGGGAACACCTAAAAACACTTTTAAACCCACTTTGAACACGCGGGAAACACTCGAAGCACGTGAAACACTCTAAAACCATTTTGAACACCGAAACCTCTGAAGCACCTGAAACACTTTTAAACATTTTGAACCCACGCTAAAGGCATGCGAAACCTCTGAAGCATGCTGAAACACCTGAACACGCTAAAACACTCTGAAGCACGCTGAACATGCTAAACACTCTAAAAACGCTGAAAAAACCTTCAAAAATCTGAAACATTCTGAAGCACGCTGAAACACTTTGAAAAAACCACTGAAACACTCTGAACATCTAAAACACTCTAAAAAACCCGCTGAAATAAGCTTAAAACAGCCCTAAAAACTTTCGGAAGCATGCTAAAACTTTTAACAGCTAAACACTCTAAGCACGTAAAACACCTGAACACGCAAAAACACTCGAAGCCGCTGAAGCATGCGAAACACTTGAACATGCTGAAACACTCTGAAGCACGATGAAAAAACTCTAAAAGCACGCTAAACCCTGCTGAATACCTCTAAAAAAACCTAAAAATAACTTCAACAGTCTGAAACATTCTGAAGCACCTAAAACCCTTTTTGAAGCAGGGCAAACACCAAAAGAAACGCAAAAACCACTCTAAAAAACCTGAAATAACCCTTAAACAGTCGAAAAAATTCTCAAGAAAGCTAAAACCCTCTGAAGCTTTCTGAAACACTCGAAGCATGCTAAACACTCGAAGAACGCTGAAAAAACTCTGAAGCAGGGCTGAAACACTCGAAGCACCTGAAGAAAGCTAAAACACTCTAACATGCTGAAAAAACCTAAAGCCCCGCTAAAAACACTCTGAACACCTGAAGCATGCGGGGAAACACTCTGAAAAACGCTAAAAAAGTTCAACTTTCTGAAACATTTTTTAAAGCAGGGCTGAAACCACTAAAGCACGCTGAAAAAACACTCTAAAAGCACGTTTGAAACCCTCTGAAAAAACCCCCCCCCCCCTAAAAATAAGCTTCAACAGTCGGGAAACATTCCCCAACCCCATCAAAAACCAAACTGAACCCATCTGAAACACTCTGAAGCACGCTAAAAAACGCCTAAACACCCTGAAGCCCCGTAAAAAAAGCGAAACACTCTGAACACGCTGAAAAAACCTAAAAGAAATCTGAAACATTTAAAAGCATAATGAAACATTTGAAAACCCTGAAATAAGCTTAAAAAAGGTCTGAAGCACGCTGAAACACTCTAAAACCCCTTTTTAAAGCACGTTTAAAAAAAACACTTTTGAAGCATGCGAAACATTTCAAAAAAAAACCAAAAATAAGTTTCAACATCTGAAACATTCTGAAGAAACCTGAAACATTTTGAAGCACGCTGAAGCTTTGTTTGAAACACCTGAAGCATGCTAAAAACCTCTGAACCGCGGGAAAACACTCTAAAAAAGGGAAACCAGCTAAAAACACTCTGAAGCAGCTGAAACACTCTGAAACATGCTAAAAAAGGGCCCCCCCCCCCCTTTTTAAGCATGCTAAAACACGCTAAGCATCCAAAACACTTCTGAAAAACTTTGAAGCACCTGAAACACTTTTTGAAGCATGCTGAAACCTCTGAAAAACGCTGAAATAAGTTTCAAAAAAATCTGAAACTTCCCTGAAGCACCTAAACATTTTGAAGCACGCAAAACACTCTGAAGCACGCTAAACACACTGAAAAACCTTAAATAACTTAAAAACAGTCTAAAACCCCTTTTCCCTCAAGCATGCTAAAACCCTCTAAGCATCTAAAACACCCCTGAGCTTGCTGAAACACCTAAAGGGCAAGCTAAAACACTCTGAAGCACGCTGAAAAAACCCTAAACACTCTGAACACTCTGAAGCATGCTGAAACACTCTGAAGCAGCAGAAACCCGCTGAAGCAGGGCGAAACACTCTGAAGCCGCTAAAAATACCCCAAAAACCCACTCTGAAGAAAACGCTGAAGAATGCTAAAAACCTCTGAAGCACCGCTGAAACCCCTCGAAGCACGCTGAAACACTCTAAAACAGGGCTGAAACGCGCGAAGCAAGCTGAAAAAAACGCTAAAGCATGCTGAAACACCTGAACAGCTGAAACACTCGAACCTGCGAAACACTCTGAAAAATCTGAAACATTTCGAACATCTGAAAAAACTCTGAAGCACGCTG